ATAGTATAAAGTAAACCAAAAATTTATCAATTCCAAATTTGTCGATATACTTCAATATTTAACAAAATGATTTCATTTAATGTTTGATGCGTTGAAACTGATTGAACTTTATTCAATTACTTATATACTATAAATGAACGATATATTTTTATGCTGCTATGAATTCATATATACCTTATTATTCTGATCACCATACTATTCACAATGGAATTCGTACGAATTGAAAGGGATATATGTCAAAGAGAAAACGAGTTTTGGAAATATTTATTGAATTGACGTTGTAGGGAAAATACAAATGCTCCAGCATTTTTGCTACACAGGTTTTGAAATGGAGAAAAATATTTTTTTTTTACTAGGATATAAAATCATGAGATGGAATCGAGTTAAACTGTGTCACCTCCCTCAACTGAGGAAGAATGACACCCCATTCAGATGGTTGACGGTTCTGCAATGTTTATCAGGTTGAAATCTATTCGCCCCATTGAAAAGATTGTGTTTTGCTTTGTGGTGTTATCGATGGCTAATTTAATATATAATTTTTTATTTTGATGAATTTTTCTTGGTCATTTCTCTTATAGACCATAACTTTTTTTCGATTTTCTCTGTTAAATTTCCCAGTAATTATGTAAGTAGAAGAAAGAATGAGATACTAACGAAAAGGTTTTTCTATACCAATAACTAATGAATATTACTGGAGTTTTTTCCCCAACACCAAATCGTTATTTTTACACCTCGACACGTGTTTCGATCACTAAGTGATCATCTTCAAGAGGAAGATGAAACTAGAAATTACTCAAAACTAAAGCTATTTATGCTATTCAGGTACATCATACAGGTAGGTAATCAGTAATACAACCCATACAAGTGTACCACCCTAAATTAATTTTACAATTGGCCTTTCTATTATTTTACAATATGTCCTTATGTATATTTAAATGTTACAGCTATATATAGAACAATTTTAAAATTGTAGTAAAATTGTAATTGTAATCCAATTGTAGGCCAATTGTAAAATTAATTTAGGGTGGTACACTTGTATGTGTGGTATTACTGATTACCTACCTGTATGATGTACCTGAATGGCATAAATACCTTTAGTTTTGAGTACCTAGTTTATAGTTTTATCTTCCTCTTGAAGATGATCACTTGGTGATCGAAACACGTGTCGAAGTGTAAAAATAACGATTTGGTGTTGGGAAAAAAACTCCAGTAATATTCATTACTACACCAAAGGTTCCAAACAGTACATCATAAATACCAATAACTAACAAAAACTGATTGATTTTCAAGCTCTCAATAACCCTCGGATACTGAAATTGAAAAAATTGACAAAAATATAATTTTCAAAATCAATGAATCAGAACCGAAAACAGTTTACAAAAGCACAACACGTGTTTCGCTATACAACAGCTTTCCCAAGCGTTCCCACAATGAAGTATCTCCAATAGAGAATTCTCTGATGAATTCAAGCTAACTAAAGTGATACCTATATTTAAGACAGGTGACAAACATACCATTGACAACTACCGTCCGCTTCAGACAGAACTGTTCCGCTGTTCAAGCGATACAAACACTTGTAGCTGATACAGTCGAGGATTTTGAGGTTGGTCAATATACGGTGGTGTCTATGTGTGACTTGAGCAAGGCCTTCGACTGTGTTTCCTACACAGTACTATTAGACAAACTTCAATTATATGGTATATACGGTACTGCATGGAAATTATCCGAATCGTACTTGAATGGTAGGAGACAAGCTGTTCTTATAGACAACATGAATTCTGAAATTGGGAACATTCATTTTGGGGTACCTCAAGGTTCTATCGTTGGCCCACTTTTATCCATTGTCTATATCAATGACATATTTCATTACATGTGTCCAATCAAATGTATTTGTTATGCACATGTTTGCTCCCATTATGCTTGATCACTTGGAAGAAACTTCACATGATTTTTCAGGAAAAGCTGAAACATGGTTCGTTTCTAATTGCTTGAAACTCAATAAAAACAAAACTCAAAATATTGTTTTTTCAACCAACAATACGATTGCTAACAATTCAGAAGTTAAAATACATAGAATTTAAAAAAATCAAATTAAAATGGTCAGCGCATATGAGCACGTGAAAAAAAAATTAAACTCTCTTCAACAGCCTACTTTTGCTTATTTCACTCTCACATCTACTACGGTATAACTCTATGGGGAAACGCTATAGACTCTGAAACTTCAGAAACTTCAGAAACGAGCTTTACGAATAATATCTAAAGCCTATTATAGTGACAGTTGTCGACCCATATTTGAAAACTTAGAAATACTCACCTTTTTAGAATTTGGAATTCCAAACCAACAATAATTCTGGTTTTCCATTAATTTTATAACAATTTAAATATTTTCTCTTTTAACAAACTTCCAACCTCCCTATGGCAGGGTTTCACTTTCATTCAACAACACCTCTTCACTTGTTTTCCTCAAGACTAATGAGGATGTTGTCAATTAATTAATATATTTGATTTTTGGGTTTTCTCATTGAGTTACTTATAGAACAGCAGATGTCTGTGATCACACTTGCACCAGAATAGTTCCCTTTTGTTCCGTAGTTTTATCATCTACAAACAAACACACCTTTTCAAACTGAATTACATGACAGCTGACATTGTCAATTGTTTTGTCTCTCTCTTTGTTCTTCAACCACATGGCTTTTACCGGTAATCCATAATTTTAAAACAAATAACGATTTTTAGTAAATTTTAATTCAATATTCTTCTTTGTATCCTGTGAGGAGTCAACCTCTTTCAATTTAATGACTTGTTTATTGTATTGACATGTTTCATTTCATTATATAACATTTCAACCCCACTAACAGTAAGTTGTGACCTTTCATATTGATAATCTTTATATTGTATCACCATCATTCAAATTTTGTAGCTTTTCCCTGAAGATGATAATACATTTTATCGAAATATTGGAATAACTTGTGTTATAAGAGTACACTTCCGTTCTGCTGATCACCCAAAGATAATTTCCGAGTTTTATATATATATGTTTTTCGATGTTTTTGATATTTTTTGAGAAATTGGTCCGAGCCTTGTGATTGATGAAGATGAGGATGGAAATGACATATTCATATATTGAAAATTTGATTTGGTCAATATTAGTTTGTTGGCGCATGTGCATTTCATTTTCTCTTTATTGTGTATTGGGTTTTGATTAGGGGGGATATGTGTTGTTATGTAGATTGTGGGTGGTGTAGGTGGTTATAGAATTGTATGGTAAATTTGACTCAAGTTGTTTATGTCCCGTCTGTCATTCGTTGTGTTTTTGTTTGTTTTAATGTAAATTAATTAAAAAAAAATATGTTTTTCCGTTAATCAGCTATCGCCCTCATACGAATTACAACTCTCAGAAGTTGAGAAACTTGTGCGAGTTAAGGACTAACGAAGTCTTACCTTTCAACGTGTGATTCCTAACACGGTTGCAGAATCATCCTAGCTTCAACCAGATAAATTATTTCGAGAAAAATATCTGGTCGAGGCAGGAATCGAACCCACGGTTATCCGATCGTGAGTCGGGCGCACTACCACCGCGTAGAAGTAGTGTGACATCAAATATTTCCGAATCAATATCTGGAACTTATGGGTAGGTAGTTCCTTAATATGCACTGGTAATTCATTATATAACTTCACGCCTAAGGTATTGCTTTCAGAAGTCAATGAACGATGTCCAGTTGGTCGAATCAAGTTACAATTTCTTGTGGTATAATTATGATATGAATTATTTTTCTGAGGGTTTTCTTTATTTCTATGAATATCCAGCAAATAATTGAGGATGTAAATACACAGTACGATGAGTATTTCTAGGTTTTCAAATATGGGGCAACAACTGTCACTATAATTGGCTTTAGATATTATTCGTAAAGCTCGTTTCTGAAGTCTGAAAATTCTCACAGAGTCTACAGCATTTCCTCATTGAGTTACACCGTAGTAAATGTGAGAGTGAAATAAGCCAAAGTAGCCTGTTTTCAAAACTGCCAGGTTAGCAAATCTGCTCAGTTTCCGTAATATGAAGAGAGTTGAGTTTAATTTTTTACTCAGGCGCTCAATATGTGCTGACCATTTCAATTTGTCATCAATAACGATTCCTTTCAGTTTAACTTCTGAATTGTTAGCAATCGTATTGTTGGTTGAAAAAACAATGTTTTGGGTTTTGTTTTTATTGAGTTTCCAGCAATTAGAAACGAACCATGTTTCAGCTTTTTTAAAAAAATCATGTGAAGTTTCTTGCCAGAAGTATAAAGGGAGTAATCATCTGCATAACAAATATATTTGATTGGACACATGTAATGAAATATACCATTGATATAGATATAGACAATTGACAAAAGGTACCCCAAAATGAATGTTCACAATTTCAGAATTGCTGTTGTCTTTAAGAACAGCTTGTCAGTAGATGTTTACAGCTGATTCTCGGCCTCCCCCCACCATTATCACAAATCAATTGCTTATTTTTGTTGGTTTAGTGAAATCAAGGTGATGTGATCTTGAAGTGTCTGGTGCATGGACCATTCAGAATTTTTTCGAGATTTTGTGTGTGTGTGTGACGTAATGACGTAATTGCATTTGGTTGTTGGGGCATATTTCAAAGATCATCCAAGTAATGAATGTTCCATCGGTGTGAGTCCACCAAGCGGTGTGACGTCACAGCAGGCAAGGTACAGGGTTTATCATGTGCATGTCTGTATACAAACATACGTCTGCATACTTCAAAGATCCTCCAAGTAATGAATGTTCCATCGGTGTGAGCCCACCAAGTTAGTGGTGTGACAGCTGCAACCGTTCAGCAGTAGGAGAGCGAGATGTGCACTCCACGGCGTATGGCTGAGTAATGCGTATTCATCGGTATGTCCTCACCTCTGTCTCGACATCTGTCCTGTACGCAACGTGCAACGCTGTCTGTTCATATCGGCATCCGTTGATGTGTCCAACTTAGAGATTGAGTTGGTGCATATAACTGAGAGGTGGGGATGGCTATGTCGTCTTGACGGACACGATCAGAGTGTATTTAAGAAGCGGACCAGTGTAGGTTATGTTAGTTTACATCAAGTGAGTTAGTGAGAATGTATCATAGAAAATGTATTCCTGTGATTGTGGTAAATCTTTCACTCGTTGTGATAATCTTCGTCGGCATCAGCTCCAGAGTTGCCAAGGAGGGCCTGCAGTGAAACGGGTGAGAGTGGATAATGCAACACCTATGTATACGTGCAATTGTTGTAATGTGACAATTCCTATGACCCAAGTGAATTCTCACCGAAGAACCATGAGTCATAAAAATAATGCATGTGTTCAATTGTCTGACGGTGTTCAAATTATAACGAATGCATTCAATTGCCGCATTGCTACATACAGGGTGGAGAGTTCGATTGTAACCAGTGACTACATGTCATTTTTCAATGAGATTAGGCAGAAGGTCATTGAATTACTGGAATCAGCCATCAGGATCCATAAAAGCATCAAGGTGAATATGGAAGTTTTTGGGAATTATATTCTTCAGACTGATGATTCGAGGGACACGAAGTCATTTAATTCCCAAAATAAAATAGTGGACCAATCTTCAGATTTGAATGCTGTTTTTGATGGATTCCGTGATGTAATTGTGGCTCAAACGACTGAGTTCCAGGATCGTGACTCAGGTATTTATTTTTTAAAAATTTCAATAAGATTGAATAGTAATATTTTTTTTTTTATAATTCAGGTTGGACTTGTGAAAAAATATTGTTTCTCGAGGTCAACATTAATAAATACAGTCCACTGGAAGGACGTTCATATGTGAAGCTGCCTCAATGTATTCAATGGAAGAAAGCTGTTGTGAATGTTCGTAATGAAGATCAATATTGTTTTGCTTGGGCTATAACATCAGCATTATATCCTGCAGATAGTCGAGTGTCCGAACTTACGTCATATCCACATTTTTCCACTGTTTTAGATGTCACAGGTATGGATTTTCCGGTTAAAGTTAATAATAAGAGTATCGAAATATTCGAAGATAGGAATGATATTTCAATTAATGTTTACGGTTTAGAGAGTACATTTGAGAAGGGTAAAATGAAGTATGAAGTGATTGGTCCATTGCGATACTCACAGAGAAGACTCCGGAGACATGTCAATTTGTTGTTTATAACTGATGACTCCGGTAATGGTCACTATTGTTGGATCAAAGATCTTTCAAGATTAGTTTCTAATCAACTATCAGCTCATAGACAGAAAAAATATTTTTGTGACGGATGTTTGATATATTTTTCTGATGAGAGATTGCTTTTACGTCATAATATGTATGATTGTAATCACATTAGTACCACAACACCAACTACTAATTTAAAGATCAATAAATATGGTAGAATGGTTGCGGAAAATAAACTAATGTTTGAAAACTTTGAGAGGCAAATGAGGGTGCCATTTGTAGTGTATGCTGATTTTGAATCAGTGCTTAAACCGATTCATGTGAATGAGCCAAATCCTGAAAGTTCATACACGATTAAAACATTCAAACATGCCCCATATTCATTTGCTTATTTGATAAAGTGTTCATATAATGATGATTTGACAAAATTTGTTACATATAGGGGTGTAGATGCAGCTCAGAAATTTGTGAGTAGCATTGAAGATGATTTGAAAGAGATACATGAAAATCATCTCAGAAACCCTAAACCAATGGATACACAAACTGTCGAAGAAGAAGAACAGTTTGTTGCAGCCAGAACTTGTGGTATATGTAATAAAGCATTTACTGATGGTGAAGTCAAAGTAAGAGATCATTGTCATGTCACAGGAAAGAAAAGATCACATGCCGCTCACTCGAAATGTAATTTAAATTTCAAAATACCAAACTTCATACCTATCATTTTTCATAATTTAAGTGGTTATGATTGTCATTTATTCATAAAAGAATTGTATAGGAATAAAGAGAAAGTTGATGTTATCCCGCAAACTATAGAGAAATATATATCTTTCAAGAAGCATCTCTTCACACACAGCTATAGCGATAAAGATGGTGTGGTTAGGAAGAATTATCTCAAAATGAGATTTATCGATAGTTATAAATTTATGACTAATTCGTTGGAGAAGTGAGGTGCAAACTTGACCTCTGATCAATGTTTGGAGATGCACAAACATTTCCCACAAATTGAGAAATTCAATTTGATGGGACAGAAAGGTGTATTTCCATATAGTTTTGTTGATGACATCGACAAATTGAATTATCCATTACTTCCGATAAAAAATCACTTTTATGACACACTCAATTGTGAACATATATCGGAAACTGATTATGATAGGGCTAGAAATGTTTGAAATGTATTCGAGTGTCAGAATTTGGGGGAATACTCTGATTTGTATTTGAAGTCGGATGTATTGCTACTATGTGATATTTTTGAAAACTTCCGCACCACAAGTTTAGAGATATATAACTTAGATCCGGCACAATATTACACTGCACCTGGATTATCATTGGATGCCATGTTGGAGTTCACTAATGTTGAATTGGAATTACTAACTGACATTGATATGATTCACTTTTTTCAAAAAGGTATACGAGGTGGAATTAGTCAATGTAGCGAGGGGAAACATATAGCAAATAATAGAATTTTACCAAATTATAATCCCAATGGACCTTCCACATTCATTACATATTTCGATGCAACAAATCTATACTGTCACAGTATGTCACAACCTCTACCAACAAGTGAATTTACATGGTTGACACCAAATGAAATTCTTAATCTTGATGTGATGGATGTGAGTACTGATAGTCCGTATGGGTATGTATTTGAAGTGGACATTCATTATCCACAAGAGTTGCATGATAAACATTCTGACCTTCCATTTTTAGTCGAAAAAATAATACCACCTCGTACACAATCGAAAATTCCCAAATTAATTCCAAATTTGAATGATAAAAGAAAATATATTGTTCATTATAGGAATCTACAGCAAGCTGTCAAAAATGGATTGATTGTAATGAATACACATAGAGTATTGAAATTCAAACAATCATGCTGGATGAAACCCTATATAGATCTTAATACTGAAATGCGTAATAGGTCTAACAACAAATCTGTTAAAGATTTCTATAAACTAATGAATAATGCGGTGTATGGAAAGACAATGGAGAATGTAGATAATCGAATTGATGTTAGACTCGTTACACATTGGGAAAATATAAAGAAAAATATAGGTGCCAGCACTCTCATAGCCAAACCAAATTTCAAAAATTGTTCAATTTTCACTGATAATTTCGTTGCCATTCAATTGGGTAGAGTGAAGGTTCATTACGATAAACCATTATATTTGGGATTTTCCATATTAGAATTATCTAAAACAGTCATGTATGACTTTTTCTATGGATGCATCAAACAACACTTTGATGAAAATGTCTCTTTACTTTACACAGATACCGACTCGCTCATTCTTAAAGTAAACACAGAAAATTTTTATGAATTCATAAAAACTAACATAAGTAGATTTGATACATCCAATTACAGTATAGTTAACCAATTCAATATTCCAGTAACAAGTTCAGTCTTGGGTAACTTCAAAGATGAATTTCCAAATGATCCAATCATGAGTTTTTATAGTATAGGTGCTAAAGCATATTATGTGAAATCTGTTGATGGTGAATTTAAGAAAGCCAAAGGGGTTGAACGATTGGTAATAAAGAATGAATTGACATGCGAAGATTATCAAAAAATCGTCGAACAAGGTGGTATGATATTCAGAAAGATGAATTCATTTAGAAACGTGTTGCATGATATGTATACTGAATTGAAAAATAAAGTTGCATTATCATACCACGACGATAAACGATTTACCATTCCGAATACTACCCACACTCTTCCTTGGGGTCATAATGATATTGAATTTTATGAAAACGATCCAAATGAGAACATTCGTTGGATAAGTAATATTATTCAACAATCACAATCTCAGGAGAGACCACTGGATCAATTGATTAATTTATTGTCTGCCGAGATCAATGACTGAAATACCATTCAATATCATTAAAATCGGAAAAATTCAATATCTTCAAAACGAAAAAATTCAATATTGATGTTTATGTAATGTGATATTATTGTATTATTATTGTATATGTATTTCTTTAATGAATATAAAATGATGAAAATTTTATTTGTTTCATTTCTATTTTCCTAATCAACTAATGTATATAGTATAATGTAAATGAAAGAAATATCAGTTTGAAAAAAATCATCGTGGGTGCACAATGTCTAAAACAATTGCTAAATTTGGCAGAAAAAGAAAATGAGGAGGTAATGTCATTCGAGGCCCACCCGGCAATGGATTCAAATTAACGAAAGATGGTCATTATTACATGCAAAAAAAATATTGAAAAATACAAGCGAACCAATTGAAAAGAATGATCGTGCAACTGTATCATATCTTGAGGGAGAAATGAATGCAACAATGGAAGTCATACTTCAGGCCCTACAAGCTGCAATACAATCCACAATAGGTAATGTTGCTCGCGATGCACGTCAAGCATTCGACGACAAAATTGCAGAGGCTCGGGTAACTTTGAGTCGTAAATACGATAGTCTTGAAAGTGATGTAGAAATGAAAATTTCCGATATAACAACATCTACGGCATCTACAGTGAAAAAATATGATTATTTGGAGCAGAGAGTTGTAGTTCTGGAGAAAAAACATAAAATTANGTAGGTTAGGTTAGTCCTGGAGAAACGTTAGGTTAGGTTATGTTAGGTTAGGAATAATAGAACCAAAACCAACAGATGACGTATTAATTGAACCTACATGGTGAATTGTGGCGTAGCGAATCGGAGCGGGACCGCGCGTAGCGCAACCGTCACCGGGGGGGCTACGCGTAGCGCGGCCCAGCCGCCCCGCCGTCCCAACCCCCACTCCCAGGGGTGTGGGGGCTCGCGTCGGCGCGAGCGTAGCGAATCAGGCCGCTTTCTTTCCACCATTGCTCGCCACGCCCACTTTCTACCATTGCTCGCCCCACCCCATTCAAACCATTGCGCATGTACGCCCCCACCTCATTCCCTCCACTCCCAACGATGTTGATACCTCGAGGAGCACAACAATCAGTACGACGACTCAAGTCAAACAGAGCAGTCCAGTCCACTCCAGCTCAGTCCAGTCCAGTCCGGTGAAGAAGCAGAATTTTGAGTAAGTTAAAATTGTTATTTTCCTTTCTTTCTATCAACTAACTTTGTATTATTTTACATTTCAGAATGGCATCCAATCAGGAAATCAACAACGCCGTGGCATCCATCATTCCAGTGGTCGATCAGGAGAAGGAAAAGGCAGTATCTTCAAGCGCTAGGGATCGCTCTCTCAGCCCTGAGTTATTCCAGGCGGGCAGGCGGACAGGCGGACAATCTAGGCCGGTGGTGAAGGACAAGGTGGCAAGTTCGAGCGGTGAGGGCCGATCTCTCAGCCCTGACTTATTTGAGGAGGAGGACAGGGTTGTTAAGAAGGTCTGTCGACAACCTGCAGCTAGGTCTGGTCCTATTGGGAAGTATAGAGTTGCTTGCAATAAGACTAATCCTTATGCAGGTAGTTGGACGACCGCTCGTAAGAGCTTGAGACCCTCCACGCCACCCGCAGCAGCAGTAGTGGAACAACCCAGGGCGCCTTCTCCGGATGAGCCTACAGTCGTATTGACCCCATCGGAGGAGGATCCCGTCGTATTGACCCCGTTGGCGGTGCCGCTTTCGCCGATGCTGGCAACACCGGCGAATCCTGGAGTGTTAGTGCCACAAATGCCAGTGCGACAGCCTATCGGAGAGGTAAGTGAAGAGATGGGCTCTTTCCTACAGAGGTGTAGAAAAGTTGATCTTACTTCCCGAACTAGTTTGGCCAAGTTGGCTAGCAATTCCCGCCGACGGGCTGAAATTGTTAGCCAACGAAATGATCTTTTGAAACGATTGGCCGAACTAGATCGAGAGCATACATCTCTGGAGGAAAGCGATAAAGCAGAGACCTCTTCGGTAGAGCGATGTACAAATTCAAAAACTTTATTAGGAACATTTTTTGTGAATAATAATGTAGATTAAGTGTAAATAAAAGATTGGGTTTAGGTTAGTTAGATATATTTGAATATGGTAGTTTTATGTTTATATTTGTAATTTTAGGAACCAAAAAAAATAAAATAAAAAAAAGAAGTGAAATAAAGGGTGTACATTGTTTTGGTTTGGTACACATTGAACAATGCGATGGTTGGAGCATTTTTCTTCACTTCGTCTCATTATTATTTCCATTTTTTATTTCAATTCCAAATTCTTCTAGTCAAATACCTCACATCAATTTAATTTCTTGTAAATAATCTCTTGGGAAAAAAATTAAAAAAGAAAAAAAATGTTTCATAATGAAATCAACAAGTATATATCATTTGTATTTTATCCATTCAAGTATCTCTTTTATTGAATATGTATTATGTCACTTTGCAATTCACCCCACTCAATCTCAACTCCTCCCCCACTTCCTCTCAAAAGGATAAAAGTAGGAATCATCTGATGAAACATTCAGTTGATCAGCTAGCTTCGAGATAGAACCTGATTCAACTACCGAACCATATAGCTACCCGGGGTATCAGTTTAATTACTGGGAGAACTACCAGGAAGGATTTGTTACTTCCACCACGTCACCTCACTCGCTTGAGCCCGACTTCCCGGATCAAGATACAGGGTGCAAGTGTTACACGTCACCGGGACTGACCAACCAGACCTTTCGGACAGTGAGTACCCGGATCCTTCCCAATCGGCTGAGGATCATCATGAGTTCTGGAACTGGTACGGGGTTGACGAGCTCGATGAGTGGGGCGACTCCTACGAGTCCGACGAATCCGATGAGGAAGATCCTCCTGACCCGCCTATCCTCATTGAGGATAGTCCTCCACCATCTCCTATCCTAATAGAGTAATTTCCTCACCCCTAATCAACCCCCTAATCAATCCCTACTCCTTTCCTAGGAGTACACATTCTGTTGGTTGCTGTACACAAGACACTGCGAGGTTGGGGCAGTGTCTCTCCCTCTCCCTTTTCCTTATTAGTTTTACAACACTGCATAGCCCCCACCTATCCTCACCTATATTTGAATAGTATAAA